ATTGATCTGAGTATTGTTTTTTAATAAGATTAAAAAGAGTTAAGTTTCGAGTTATTTCATAGCATTAAAGCTCTAAATAGAATTTTTAGCAATTGAATTAGTTGTTCTGAATTAATTAATAGAAAAGCGCAACGATAATAACATAACAAGCATGACATTTGATCTTATATACTTTTTTCTTTCTAAATTTTACTCTGTTCCAAATAAGGATATTGATACATTTAAGGGAAACGAGTCCACTATTTCATAGAGCATTGGAGCTGCTTCAAGTAACACATCCGATTGCAAGAGATATGATAGTGACAGATTGATGAGAGTGGTGGGTTTCATTTTAATGTATCTAAAAAAAGTAGTATTAAATAATTTTTTAAAGTCAATTCCTATTTAGGTCAACAAAGGAAAATTTTATTTTAGTAATTTTTTAATAAATAGTTACAACTAATATATAAATATGCAAACACATATGACAGGATCACAATATTAAATGACAAAATAGAAAGCGATTTTTCTTACAATTTTCCATTTTCCTTTCTATGTATGGTGTTGGACTGTTTTTTGTTTGTTATTATTTATTCATTAATAAAATTTAATTATTCTAATAAAATAGTAAAAAAGAAATCATATTCTCAGAAATTAGGTCATCCCAAGTGGGATTCGAACCCGCGACCTATGGATTAGAAATCCAACGCGCTATCCATTGCGTTACAGGAACGCAATGATTGATTTTCCTTTATATATATGCTGTTTGACTATTATTTTTATTTGTTACTATTTATTCATTTTTTATTTAATTACTGAATTAATATTCGATAAAAACTGTATTAACACCCAGTGTCACATCCACTACAAGCTCATAAAAATGTATTTGAACTAGATTGGATGAATAGAAAGTATTTTATTAACAATTGAAAATTTGAACAAGATATATATATGTGTGTGTGTGTGTAGAGGGAGAGAGGGAACTAATGGTAGGAACTGAAGAAAAAACCCTTCATCCACGAAGAATTCACTCTTTCTGAATGTGACATTATTTTCATGAGGCGTGGATATGGATTGCGGTCTCATAATACGATCTCGTCACTTGATGCTGGTTTGGAATTGCAAGATTCATCGCCAATACTTTTAATTGCTTTTAAGTGCGAAACATTAAATTGATCTAACTTTCCAACACTCCAAAATGAGGATTTTGAATCCTGAAAGTTTAACATGATCCGCTACAGTATGTTTTTTAGACCTTGGAGACTCTGCTCAATTACCTAAGATTTACAAATTAGTTACTCTACCTTCAACTAGACCAGTGATTCCCAAAGTGGTCTATATCGACCCCCAGGGGTCTATGACTACCTGTAAAGGGTTCACGTTAGAGAAAAAATAGTTTAGGGGCCTATGAGTTGTAAATAGAATGGGGGGGGGGCCTACGATAGTGGCTCTTATTAAACCAGACCGTGACTTTAATTTTAAAAGAAAAATCAAGTGGAAACCAGATATTACTTATTTAATAGATTTATTTAGTAGATTTAATGAGGTTAATTTGCAGCTATAAGATGACAACTTAAAATTTAGTAAAACAAGGACTATCCTTTTACCGTTACTTGTCAAAATTTAGCTAAAAGAGTATAATAGTGGACGTTGGGAATTTTTCCAATTTCTTAATTTGTCACAGTCAATCTTCCAGGAAAAGGACCTTTTAACCAATGTTCAACATTTAAATGCCCCCCCTAATCAAATTTTAGAACTATGTTTGAAAGGGCTTTGACTATGGTAATACCACAGTAGGCAATGAATTCATATGGTCTCATTGAAAAAACAACAAATGCCATATTACAAGAGGAACTGATCGGAATGTGCACTAACGAAGATCTTGAAGTAAAGTTTAGAAATGGATGTCAGTAATTTTGACTTTAAAAAAAACATGCCTGTTATTTATGGAATATCGTGAGAAAGTTTTTATTTGCTTTTTCTCCAGAGAAGGAATTTTAACGCGGTTATCAACCTCTAAAAAAATTACACTATTGACTTAGGGTATTTAGAGTTAAACCTATGCGAAATGTTGAAAACTTGTTATTGAAGCACCAGACTCACTCCTCTCCATGCTTAATTACTTTATGTATTAAACTTTAATTAATTAACATATGTTTTTTAAAGTTTTAAATACTATCTTTTACTACAGTTAAAAATTAAATCTTTTAAAGTAAGTAGCTCTATACCAGTGGTGAAAAGGACCTTTAAGTTTATAAATTTGCCAAAATTCAGTATTAGGTAAGGAAAAACCAAATTAAACCAAACTGAAAAAACCTGGCAAGGGGTCTAAGAGACAAACCTCTTGGGAACCTCTGAACTTACACTATTGTAACTAATTCTAACGTAATGAAAGTATACAATTTTTGAATAGTTTTTATTATAAATTTGATGTATATCTCCTGTTGCATCAACTGCATTTAAATCAATAGAATGATCTTCGTTGGAATGAAGATTCCAGTGAGACATCCACAAATCATGTGCTAGCGTCCTAATCCTCAGATTATCTTGATCCAATACCGCCCCACCCAGTTTGGTGATTATGACACTCGGCTTGTAATCAAGTGGTCTCGGGTTCGAATCCAGAATAAGGCATGGGTATATCTTCGGGAAAAGAAGTCGGACTTTCGCCTGAAATGGATTCCCAGTCTCGAATGGAAAGCAGCGCACCCCTTCTATTCTATGTTGGGATCAATCGTTTGTTATAAAAGCCTATATTCTTCCATGAGTGTATTGCATGTTTCTGTTCATCTATCTATCGTCTTTCGCATATATCCCAGCATGAAACACGTGACAACAACCACATCTGGATCCAATTATTACTCATAACTAATTACAAAATTTAATGTAAAATTCAAAGGATTTTTTTTAAAAATCCCTTGATGAAGGTTATACTGATCTTTACCCCTTTTTTATGTCATCTTGTAAAGAAAATAATGCTAAAAAGGAAACCTTACACGATAAACTCTTCTCTCGCTTTTTTTTTTAAAAAAAACTACTCCCCCCCCCCCATTGGTTTACCTCTGTACTTAAAAAAAAACTCTGGCCAGTGTTGTGAAACATTCCCGTTTGATGCATCTGCCCCAGAGAAGCAGTAGAATACTGTCCGTAGAAAGCGATAAGGCGAGGGGTGTGATCCAATTTTCGACATGAACTCAGGGCTTAACGGAGAAGCCCGCAACTGCGTCCTGCTGCCACAGCTAGTGTAAAAAAAATTTCGTACGTTTAAGTATGTAAATAAAGCCAGATTTAAAATTCCCTGTTTTTAAAAATTCCTGTTAGTTTTGTTTAAAAAAAATTCTTTGTAACAAAAGAAAAAAATACCGTATATTTCCGAATATAAGTTGATTCATGTACAAGTTGAGAATGCTTTTTAGCGCGTTTTTCACGTAGTGGAACAAAAGCGCTATTAGGACGAAAATTTCGCCTTCGTCTTCGTTCCATATTTTGTCGTAACTTTTTCTCAGCCAATAAGCAACCAATTGACCTCGGGTTTTCGGCATTGGGTCGCATTTGTGCCCTAGATGAGCAGAATCATATTTAAATTTTCCCATAGTTTCCCCGAATTTTCCTACAAATTTTCCTGAATTTCGCTAGTTTATAACAGAATTTTCTAAAATTTTATCTAGTAAATTTTTTGTTTGCAAAAAGTTTTTTTAAAAAAATCTACCTGCATTTTGGAGGAAATCTTCACAAAAATGAGGAAATCTTCAAAAAAAAAGGAGTGGTACAGTACTACTTTTCTGTTAGTAAAAAGTTCATTAGTTGCATTATTGTAAAATACAACATGTGAAAAACGCGCTAAAATTACTTGGCCATGCCAATGATTGATATCTTGTTTTTTCGAAAGTTTACCTTAAATTCGAACCCCATGATATATAAACCGAATTATATATATATATATATATATATATATATATAAAGTTCTTATAATTTTCAATCATGTCACCATGAGAGCTAAGCGGGTAAAATAGGAGGAATATTTTCGAATTTAATTGCTGTAAAATAAAATGCTGACGAAACTAGTTTTAATTCTGGTAATCCTATATGGAGAGCTAACGAATTTTTTTTCATTTATTTATCTTGTACAAAGATCTTGTTATCTTGGGTTAATCATGCTTTCTGCGTATTTTTTTTTATTTTGAAAAATAGCGGGACGAGAAACTCGGATACTGCTCGAGATCGACGATTTATGTTTCATCTGAGATCTATTTAAATTTTTGTGTCGAGTTAATATAAGTTGGAGAATCAGAGTGAGTTAACCGTGAAACCGTGAGAAAACCGTGCAAAAAAGTCGTATAAAAATACATGCGACTTATGGTAAATTTAGGAATGTGTTCCCCAATTTTAAAAAATCATGTAAGATGGAAAATTTCTAAATATTTTCCTAAAAAAACCGTGCAAAAAAAGGGAATAATAAAATCCATGTTACATATTTATAAAATAAAAACAATTTCTTTTTATTACAAAAAAATTTAATTAGTGCACAGTAACAATTAATTCTTTAAGTACATACAAAAATTCAAATGGAAATTACGAATTAAACTGCTAACCAACAAAACTATTCATTTCTACTTGATAACAAACGTACACGTTTATTATGACCTGGATAAAAAATGCTACCAGCAGTAGATGTGTTAGATATGTCTAGTACAACTGTCGGTTTTGAATCGAATGAAGAATTTCGTTCGTTATTAATAGCCTCGGTTAGTTGTTTTATCAATTCCTACTATTATTTCACACTCTCCCTATAAATATATACATATATCTTTTTCAAATTTTCAATCGTTAATAAAATACTTTTTATTCGTCCACTCAAGTTCAAATACATTTTTTAAAACTTGTAGTGGACACTTGATGCTTGATGTTATTATGCAGTTTTTTCAAATATTAATTCATTAATTAAATTAAAAAATGAATAAATAGTAACGAACAAAAATAATAGTCTATCAGCATATATAGAAAAGAAATTCGTTCGTTGTGTCTCTGTGGCGCAATGGATAGCGTGTTGGACTTCTCGTCCAAAGGTCGTAGGTTCGAATCCTACCTGGGATGGCCTAATTTCTGAGAATGTGATTTCTTTTTACTGTACTATTTTACAGGAATAATTAAATTAATTTATGAACAAATATTAAAAAAACAAAAATGATAATCCAACGCCATATATAGAAAGAAAAATGGAAAATTGTAAGGAAAATAGCTTTCTATTTTGTCACTTAATATTGTGATTCTGTCATATGTATAAGCATTTTCTTATATTTGTAATTATTTAATAAAAAGTAACTAAAACAATTTTTTCTTTGTTATCCTAAGTAGAAATTGACTTAAAATTTTTTTATATTTCTTATTGTTACGAAGTCTGTTATTACCGGCTATATTTGGTGTCGCAAGTTGCTTATATAATTCTTGATGTCCTACTACCCAAAACTTTGCTATGATTATGTTGAAATTTTAATGCACGCTCTGTGTCAAAATCATGAGAAAGAAAATGTTTTTCCATACTTGTAACAAGTTTCAAGCCTTCACGAATTAAATCAGCTGTTAATGGTTGAATTTCACGTTCGATTTCGTCATTATTCACTTTATTATTATAAACTGTTATGAATTCGATCAAATCGTCCTCATACAACAGACACGAATCCCAAAACTTTTCGGAATTCGTTCTAGAGCAAAACATTTGTGTAAAAGAAAATATTTTATTAAATTTGTGCACTGTGTTATTTCAAAATCGTGAAGGAAAAAAAAGAGTTTGGCGTATTTAATTAAACGTGGTCTTCAAGTTAACAAACGCGAAATTGAGAAATTGTAAACCTCACTTTATTTTTTTATTCAATATTTTAATAAAGTACGCATTCGCTACAACATAGAGTTTAATATTGATCGATGTTAACATGGAGGTGTTTGATAATAATAGTTTTTTTTTAAATTGACATCACATTCAGAAAAAACTCAAAAGCTACTGTCGACAAGGACGAGGTCAAGTGATTAGGACGATACCTGGCACGTCATTCTTCAGTTTTTCCATTCCAGGCTAACGTGAGGATTTTGAGCCTCGATAGATTTAATGTATATCATTCCCTCTATATCGAGGGTACAGAAGCGTAGGATAAAATTCGTTGTGAATATGAAAAATCTTAAATAAAATATATTTAAATATCTTTACTAACGTTTTTCTCAAACTGAATTCTAAGACGAATACTTCCTACCATTTGCAGGTTTTAAGGGAACCAAGACATGATCGCAAGAGTAAAATGCCAAAATTATTAAGACCCTTTATTTATGGGACATACATCTTTAAAAATTTCCAATGGAGCTTAGATTTTTTGCGATCTTAATAATGATATTTTATTATTTCTGTAGAGATACAAAATCAATTTTTTAGTTAAATTTTTTTTTCTATTTAATTTTTGAGATCTCATAATACATGCTTATGTTTAGGTACCGTTTATTTAAAAAAAAGTATCTGTTAAATATGTAAAATATCTTTTGCAAATATACATATAACAGTACATAAATATAGTGAACCTATTTTTTTAGTAAAATATTAAGATAGTAAGACTTTGTACTTTAGAAAATTTCTATTTCCCCTCCTTTTTTATATATAAAACTAATTTTTTAAGAAAACTAAGTACTACTTCATCTAAAAAAATAAGTTCACTAAATGCACAGGTATCCTGTATGGAAGTATAAAAAATTTGGAACCATATAGTGCAGTGATTCCCAAAGTGGTCTATATGGACCCCCAGGGGTCTATGACGACCTGCAAGGGGTCCACGACAGTGAAAAAATAATTCTGGGGTCTATGAGGTGTAAATGGGGGTCTACGATAGCCTAAACCAGATTGTGACTTTAATTTTAATAGAAAATCTAATAAAGCGTGAACCATATTTACCTACTTAACAGCTTTATTTACTAAATTTACTGGGGTTAATTTGCAATTACAAGGCGACAGCGTACATTTTATTTAAAAAAGATTCATCATTTCAGTGTTTTTTGCCAGAATCAAGCCAAAGGAGTATAAAACTGGGCGTCGTGAATTTTAACACTTTCTCAATTTGTCACAATCTGCCAGAAAAATGACGTTTTAACCTATGTTCAACATTTAAATGGCTTTTACGTAGGTTTTGAAACTAGGTTTGAGAATGCTTTGACCATGGTAATATCGCAGTAAGTAATAAATTCACGTTGTCACATTAAAAAAAAGGCAAAAAGAAAAAAATGTCTGATTACAAAAGGAACTTAACTAATAACCGTAACGAAGATTTTAAAGTATAGAAACGACTGTCAGCAATTTTGGATTTAAAAAAATACACCTGTTATTTTTTCGAATTATGGAACATCTTAAGAAAATTTTTAATTGTTTTTCCTAGAGAGGAGGAGTTTCAGCACGGTTGCCAACCTCCAAAATAAAAACAGGAAGGGACAAAAAAAGATTGGATACTACTAACCGAGGAGATTGAGGGTTAAAACTGAAAAGATTGATGCCAAATTTTAAATATGTGTTATTGAAGCACCATATTCATCCCACCCATTAAAAACATTTGTTTGCTGCTCAGTTATTTTATGTAACAATTATTTTATATATTAAATTAAAATTTAATTAACTAATTCACATGTGTTTCTTAAGTTTTAAACACACTACTTAACTCCAGTTAGAAACAAAAAACTTTTAAAGTAAGTAGTGCTGTATCAGCTGTCAAAAAACATTTAAGTTGATAAATTTGCAAAAATTTAATATTAGGTAAGTAGGGGTCTACACAAAACCGAAAAACATGGTAAGGGGTCTATGAGACAAAAAAGTTTGGGAACCTATGATATAGTGCAATAGTTTTTTTAAAGTGTACCTAAAAGCAAAAAATTATACTTTGGAGAAAAAGCGAAAAGAAAAAATAAACATTATTAAGCGTTTTTTACATTTTTGTCAATTACTTTTTTATATTTTAAGGGGTTTTTCTTATCAACGAACATAAGTGTCATTCATTTTTAGATTTAGAAAATGTGCACTATTTTTATACTAAAAATAAAAAATCGACTTTTTGAATGTATATGATGTCCTGGTTCCCTTAAGAAGACTGTAAGATCAATCTCGATTCACTTGGCTAGAGTTCGCATTGTGGTAACAAGCTAACGTTTAATAAAAATATGAGAACGCTTACGCAAAACTGTCCGAGATGAGATATGGGGATTTTTTGTGTGTTTTTGATTTGTTGTGTACATTTTAACAAAAATATGCTAAAATTAAGAAGAGAAAAAGAAACTATTATTACTAAAATGGGGAAAAATTGATAAAAATTCACAAAAAATAACATAAAGGGGATCCATTCTGTACCGAAAGTTTATGAACAAATTTTCAATTTTTCAATTCTGATGCGTTGCTATATGTTATTCATTTTTGAATTGACTTTCAGGATAAGAGATATTTTAATTTTTCAAAAACTGGAGCACTTTATCCTTAATATTGTATGAAATTGCTTAAAATAACAGTGATTATATTAACAAAAGGGACTGTAAATTTTGTAATTAAACAGTGAGTAATAAATCTGAAAGTTAAAACACTTCTACTATTATACAGAACCTACAGAAACAATTTCAGTTAATTATTTTCACAACTTTTTGATCAATCGCTGTCCCCATTTCAGTATTTAAAAAAACACACATTTCGAGTAAAATGTGTTTTTAAAGTATGGCATCTTCCTTTAAGTAATGGCATCTGCTTTTACTAAATCACTTGTAGTTTTTGTTCTTGTGAACTGGAAAAAAATAAACTTGGAATTTTTATAAAGCTAATGAGATGGTCTATAAAATAAAATCATAAAAAAATCTGTCAATTTTTGGCAAAATTCACAATTTTAGGGTAGTCGGATACCTTAACTAAAAATAGTATCATAATAACTGAGTGACTGTTCACTGATTCTTATTCCAACACTCGATTGTTTAGTTAGAAATAATATAAACTTTTGTGAAATGCGCGCGTAAGAAATTTAAAACAAAAGTTTTTTTTAAATAAATTACACACAAATTACTATTCTCTCTCTTCTCACTTTTTTTGAAAAAAATTTTTATTTAAAAAAAGTGACAGATTTCCTGGTTAAATCTTTTAACCAGGTGCAGTTATTTTTATTACGAATCCAATTAATCGCGAAAATTAGTTGAGGCATTAATCCCTTAACTGGTTTGCCCGTACACACCGTACGGGCTAAAGAGAGCTAGCCGCAAACGGTGATATTTTCTGCTTTCTATCTTTTATTTGCACATATTTTTTCATTCTTATTGTGAAATTATTAATCTTGGTGTTCTGAAGAGATGTAGATTGTCCATGGTACTGAAATACTTCTCATCCGGGATTTTCTTTGTGGTGAAGGTGGGAATTTTTCATTGAGAGTGGGCATAAATTTAGATTCTTTAAAATATTCACGATAAAGAGCGAGGATTTTTTCAAGGCAATAGGGGTTTAATTTGTTTGCTGGGAGAAGAAAGAAAAAAAATGGAAAGATAATTCAAAAAGGTCAATGTTATCTCTGCCTCCATTGCAATGTAAGACTTAATATTACGCAATGTTTCACACTGTGTGTACACACACATATATATACACACAAAATCCTCAACCATTTAAAAAAAGAATTACGATACTGTTTTTTTCTTTACTATAAAACATAATTGTACTGTAACGCTTACTTGAAAGAAATATGTATTCTAAAATACCTCTTCTATTAGGTGTCTTTATAAATTTTAAGGTAAAATACATAAACCACACACAAGACATATACATTTAATCTAAGGAGCATCTCTTCGCAGTAAATTTTAGGTTAATACTACTATGGCTACTACTGTGTTCATTGAAACTTTGTACTGAAACAGAATATCAGAAAACTAATGATCCCATAAATTTTCACATGAGAACTTTATAGACTGAATTTTGTAAGAGCAAACCTAAAAAATGAATTAAAATAAAAAAAATATTTAACATTAAAAAGAGGATATAAATTGATTTTCGGGATTACAGCTAGAACTGAAAAACCGTGTTTCATATCTGAAAGCATCCCATGCCCTCAAGT